ACGGGGAGGGGGTGTGGGCTCACGGGGTGGTGGCACGGGTTTTTCCTTTTTCACTTTTGTCTGAGTGCCGATTGTGCGACTTTCTTTTTCCGGAGGTTTTGCCACGACGTAGTTTGTCGTCATCTGTACGCCGACATTTCGTTTCTCTACGTCGGGAACATCATACTCGTCCACCCACCGATCTCCTTCTAGCTGCTTGACTGTTTCGTTGTTCTGCAGGCGATATTCACGGACAACCTTCTCTCTTTCGTCTTCAGATGTTTCGTCTGCTTGAACAGGTTCATATTCATCGGCCATACCAGCGTGGTAAGAACTTGGTCTTTCACGGCGAATTATAATTGGTTCACCCCCATCTCTACCGTTATACGAACTGGGTCGGCTTCTGGTGATAATTCGGCGGACCACCCTACCCTCGCGCTCTGACGTCACAGGGCGTCTGACAATGACAATTCTCTTGGGTTCCTCACGTTCAACACGGCGTATCACACGTTGCACAACATGTCCATCATTGTAAGTCTTGTGAACACCTTCTGCTTCACGAAGAATGATCCTTCGCCGGGCAGGTTCCTCGGGAGAACTCGCCACAGTACGGATTGTCCTAACGGCACGGACGGAGGAGGCCGATCCAGGTCTCCGTCCAGGCTTTCTAACGAGATTTACATTCTCATAATTCGAGTATTCAACTCCATTTCCCTGATATTTAGCTGAATCCGATAAATGTTTCTTGAGAAGGTATTGTTTTGTTTCCATAGAGTTTTCTATTGGTTTAACATATTCTTTACGAGTGATTTTGTCTCTTGGGGGTCGTTCAATAATTGCACGTAAAACTTGGGGATTTCTCACTACTTTCCTTCGAATGACTCTGTTTCGGTCATCAATGATGTTGGTACTTGCTGTCGTCTGCGTACACGTGCTGCAATATGACGTCACTGTTTCAGAATCTGTATCTGTCTCTGTGTCACTTGGTGTTCGGGGAAGAGTTCTTTTCATGACTGGACGGGAAACATAAACTCGTTGCTCAGGCATTTTATCTTAATTATTCCTGTTCACTTATGACACAAAGTCAACACGAAATAATTCAAAAATCAAAGCAACAGACACAGTATGAAGAATTCAGAAATAAATCTACTCCATTCCTACATGACAAGACACAGTGTTCGCTTTCGCCATTTTTATTGTGATTGCGAATCACCCATGACGATGGATTTTTTTTGTTTACCCCTCGGCTTTGTGTTGGAATAATTTTGTTTGCCGTTTAAATTTCTGTGAAGGGAAACCCTTCAATAGTCACCTACACTTTATACTTACTCCAGATAAGTAAACACGAGCTTTAAATCCAAAAATATTAATTAATCCGTAGGAAGGCAGAAAACCAGTTTTGAAAGATTTAACGCTGGAAATGCTGAATACACGTTTTCAATTTCAAAATCCGTACAAACGTTAGTAGTATTAGTACACTATTTTATTGTAGACATTAAACCGAAATTATGGTCGCCATATTTGATATTGATGTTGTCGTAGTTACGAGAAGCGACTGGCGACACGTGACACGCTGTGATCGATGCTAGCGATGAATGAAACATACACCTGTAATTTACACCTGAGTGACATTAATAATGCCCGTGTTTAAAACTATTTTACATGGTATTTTATGCATGCTTGATTTATATTATCTCAGGCTTTAATAAATAATCTGTGAGAAATTATTAAATATATGGAACAATAAAATAAAATTAAACTATATAGATTAAAGATATACATGTATATTAATGATAATGAATAAGCTTTCAGGTTGGTTTTAGACTTATTTTTGTTTTTTTAAGTCAAGTGCTTATATTACTATAAACTCCATTAATCTGTAATCAAATAATAAATGATTTTATATCCATAATTATGTCTATAATATTCACAGACTTTTCCCCCCCATTTTCCCCCTTTATTTTACAGGAATTCACGGCATTTATGGAAAAAATAAGTGATTACGATTTTCACAGTCATTTAGCACGAAAAAGTTCAACTAAAAATATGATTGTTCCTTTACAAATCATCTTCTTTTTTTCTCATTATGAACAAACGAATTGAAAAAAAAAGACAGATAAAGAAGTCATTTCTTTATTCAAGTTTTCATATACATGTGCATGTAATAAATATCGTAACGGTGCTAGTCGATGTTCACTTTCATAAACTCTGATAAATCTTTACATATCTTGACTTCTTTTAAAGTATCACATTCATTAATAATTATATTTTCAAAATCTATTTTTATAAATATAAGACGTGTAATCTACGCAGCTCTGTTAAGGCTGAATAAAGGGGGCGGGGCCTAATTTTTACGGGAAAAGTTTACTGTGACATCACACAAATACAAGTATAGCAATTCCTCACAATAACAAAAAATGGAATAATTTGCGAATCTAAACTGAATAAGAACTAGTGCTAATTGTAACGGGAACCGTTACAGATGTTCCCCAAACGGCTCCCCAATCCCTTGTGATGCCCCATTCCCTACAAGCTTCAATAAATTAGACAATACTTTTGTAATATAGATGGACACTTTATTTTTAAGGGTATTTCATTGGAAAACTACTCCGATATAGCCATATGGGTATGAGCCAATCTAATAGCTACATTTTTTACATTAATTATCTTATAGTGTCTCACAATACATACATTTGTTTTAAATATTAAAGAATTTCATTGAAAAATAAGAGAGATGTAACCCTTTAAGTATTAGCCAATCAAAATTCAGCATACGCGCATGCATGGCCTTGCATTCAATTTTGATAGTATCATAATGTAGGAGCTCTATGTGCCTATCCATGTCTTAAATTTCATCCTGTTTTGTTAAAAACCAAGGGAGTTAAAGACATTTAAAGTTTCAACCAATCAGTTTGCAGCACACCTGCATGCGCGTGTTTTCAAGAAATTTCCTATATAACATGTTGTAGCACCTTATAATATATACTTATATTCTAAATTTCAAAGTATTTTGTCAAAAAACAAGGAAATTATTGAGATTTTTGTATCAGCCAATCAGAGAAGAGCGCACATGCATGCGCGTGAGTTCACGCTAATTTGACCATGTTGTCTTGTCTAGACTACTAATATATCTTTATATTTTGAGTTTCAAAGCAATTGATCAAGAAATATAAAAGTTACGGCTTCATCAAGTATATCAGTCATTTCACTCATTGCACGCGCGCGCACGTGCATGCATGTGCGCGCAAAATGACCTTCGTTCCACACACCTACACAACATGCCTATTAACCCTAAAAAGGTTTCATGTCAATCGGATGAGTGGTTCTATGAGAACACTCCCGGACAAAAAAGTACCGGAGAAGAAAGTAGAAAAAAAGAATAAGAATAATAATAATAATAATAATAATAAGAAACAGAGTAAAAACAAATATGTTCCCAAACTTCGTTTGGGGAACATAATTATGAACTACATCAACACTTACCACTGCATTCATTTTTGTCGCTAGTTAAATCCCACACAGCAAGATATAAACAAATCACTGATCGCAATGCACTTGTCGACATGACGTCATCATGGTAAAGTTTGACGCATTTTATGTGCAGTGAGAGGCAGATCAAGTAATTTTTTCACAGTGAAAAATGCATTTTATTATTAAACAGAATATTATTTGAAAATCTTAGGTAGACCATTAATATTAATCTGAAACGTTTGTTTAGTGCCATAATTTAAAAAATATCGAGAGAATGTATTGAATTAATTCTACCGTGTTTTTGTTTACAGGGTGTGCATGTTTCACTCCTAGGTGCCTCATTAAATCGCCTTTTTTGGCAAGGGCATACACTTAATAGATCTTGACCATTTTTGGAATACACATAATGGACATATTCCTTAACTTGAAAAGTGCTGCTGCTTTCCTGAAATCGATAGCATAACTTAATAAATACATAAAATACTTGGTAAAGGTCACACATATTTCGACATTAGCAAGATAACTTGAAATTTAAACTAATAAAATGAGAATTCTATTTAAGGCAGCAGCACTTTCCATAAAGTACAGGTTATGTAGAAACAATCTATTTCTTTAATTTTTAATTCTAACAATGGTATGCCCTTGCGATATTGAAATTTGTTTGTGACCTACATATAGTACACATTACATGCATTTATCATGACTATCAAATATTGTGACCAAACCAAATTCAGTACAGATCGGGGCATACAATGTTATTTCAAAGAATGTTAAAGTCATAAGATAATACAGCACCTTGACAAAATTAAAATTTACTTTAAAAAGGTATGTATTTATGCACGTTTATATTCTGTTGATTTCTTCGAAGTACGCCTTAACAGTGCTGCGTATTTAGCACACCAAACTGTCAAATGTTTCAGCAGTAATCAAGCTATATTTTAACTCATTAATTAGTCTGTCCCAAGTGATCTGAAACTTTGAAGTCCTTACGTTAAAAATCAAACATATTTAAATAATAATTTCCATTCTCATGCATTGAAATGGGAAGTGATACAAGTTAGCAACAAAATTCCCATTTCATTAAATCATTCGTATGAAGGATATAACAGGTACAATATTTTGAGAAAAAAATAATTTCTGAATCAATGTTATATATATATAAATAAATTAAAAAGAAATCCCATGCAATTGATAATTTGTCTACTTGACAGGAATCATTCAATGTTCTCTGAGCTACAACTTGTTGCAGTTAACCATTTGAAATGTTCTACTTAAAAAAAATCTCTGATTAAGGAAATTCAACTCAAACAATTCCGCAATTATACAACAAATGAAGACCGGACTATAATAAATAAGATATACAGATTCGATAAATATTTTTATCATATATCATATCTTTCATGAATACAATCAGAAAACTAAAATTATAATTAAATTAAAAAAAGCTCAAAGCAGCTAAAAATACATGCATATACTAACGTATGGCTACCATATCACAGGAAGAAATATTTTTTTATTAGATAGAGCACAAGGTACATGTAGTAGTAAATTCAAGGAATAAAAGAAGCATATCGGATTTTGTCTGTCTGCTTCCTTTCCCTGCTCACCACAGGGGTTTTGGAGGCACTATAATGGAACTGTGACCGAATAAACGGGATCCGGTCTGCTGTTGGCTGAAACTTTCGGTGTAGAGGGCGGTGTTGTATCCGGTGATGCTCTTCCTTCATCCACCCTCCACCCACGCGGATAACAACGTCCGGAGGCGGAGGCGGCTGCAAGTAGAAACATTAAATTAGGGAAATTAATAATTGTCTATTAAGATAAAAAAAAATAATAATAATACACATGTACTTAGAATTAGAATAAATATATAAAAATACATAATTATAATTTTTACAAGACAGCCTTAAAAGATATAATTTAATATAAAAGAAATCTTCTTCATTCTGAGGGATCTCAATACATCTATTACTCGTACACGTCGAACGGCGTCTCTTTAATTTTGACATCCTATAAAATCAAATTGATCAAGAAGGTATGTGCAGTTACCTTCCTTTGTGTGAGCGTATCTACATGTACGAACAAATAAGTTATTGTATACCATATCTTAAACACACTGGCGGTTCCCATCTAATTTTGCCAACGACAAAATGATGTCTATATATACATAGGTCCACCCCTCTATACTAAAAGTATAGACTGGTAAACCTATGTAAACATCATTTCGTCGTTTACAAAATTAGATGGGGCGCCTATGATCCGTATCAGAAATTTAAAGATTCTGTCATCCAAACATATGCTTAGGTATGTTCCTTTTTTCCCTTAATCTATTAATTATTCTATATACCGTTTCCGTGGCAAATCCCCCCCCCCCCTCCCTCTTGTGTGTGTATTTGTGAATATTTTGCCTGTTTTTGGAGGAATTATCAAAATTCAGCATGAAAATTACTCAGTATAACTATATGGAGATGATTAGAGTTGTACCTTTGGTTTACGAACGCGTGGTTTTATTACGGGTTTTTCAACAAACTCGGCTGGAATAACGTCGGGCTCGGAGCCGATTTCTAAGCGGTGCAAGGAATCGTCTCTCACCACAAAATCATTCGTGTTTCTGGGAGAATTTTCCGTCTGTGATTTAGATTCTGTGAATTTAGCTTCGTCTTCCGGTTGATAAGGAAAATTATTGCTTTGGATCATTTCCAATGGGGCCGGGTTACGTTCTCTTGCAGAGACATATTCTTTCTCTTTGGTATGACGGGGCGATGTGTACAAAATCTCAAGGCTTGTCTCGCTATTCCTCGAGCAGAGTTTGCGCGTTTCATTAGTCGCCGGTTGAAGGTCCGACGTCCATTCACTTACATGTACAGGTTTGTTTTTTGGTTTTCGGAACACCTTGGGACTTTTATGTTCTTTTTCAGTCTGAATGCCTATAGAAGACATCTCACTTTTTAAACGGACTGACGACTGCTCTTCTCCTAGATACTCGAAAGATGCGAGTTCGAAAGTTTCTTCTCTGTTTTTGCTGTTTCCCTCTTTCTGACTTCGGAAATCAGATGATCTACTAGAAATGCTCCGGGTAGAAGGATAGGTCGTACATCTTCCTCCTAAATTTCTTACCGAATCTTGTCTCTCTTTTTGGAGTTTCTCGCGATTTGATTCTTTATCTCCAGAATTCCTTTGTTTATTCCAGTCTTTGCTAGATGTTTTCCCCTCTCTGTTGTTGAACCAGTAGATAATATTTCCGTCAAAAGAAGTGTCATAGAATTTAGTATTGTCTTTTTGGCGTAGTTTTTCATTTACTTTCAAGAAACGATTGGATTCGGGGGCAACCTTTTCCTTTCGTTTAATAGACATGTTACTTGTAGACTCTGAAATTTCAGATTCGTGACGCCAATATGGCGGAAGAGAGCAGGTGACATTTTTTGACAAAGGCAGTCTCCTATTCCAGAGATGCTCTATCATTTCACTCCCAGAGGGCGCATATAACGGCGGAAGTTTAGTTTGAATTCCTACATCCCTTACAACTGCCTTTGGTCGTGACTCCTGAACTAAATACCTCGTACTCATTTGAACAGCTACCGTTCGAGTTCCTCTAGATTCATCGTAGTACTCTTCAACATCGTATGAAAATCTCTCCGAGTCATCGCCATAAGTTTTACTGGAATCGTAAGAGGATTCTGTAGAGTACGTGCCGGATATACTACTCTCTGACTGATTATCAATATCCGGTGTCGTTCTCTTTCGTATTCGATACAAATCTTGCCTCTGGTGATCATAGACAAATGAGAAATCCTTCTCTAAACGTTTATGCCTTACCGCCTCTGTAAAAGAGTTCGACAGAATCCTAGGGTTATAAATAACTTGATTGGCATTTTCTCTCGTCTGCGTCCCAACATCTCGAACTTTTGAGAAGTACCGATTTGGTTCTAGGATATAGTGTGTTTTCATCTGTACCCCTACATCACGTGACCCCGGTCCTGCGGAGCCATATTGTTCACTGTCGGCCCGTCTCTGAATCCGCTCTCCCACGGAATCCTCATAGGATTCCCCAGAAAAGTCCCCCTCCTCCTCTGTCGACATGATATCGAATTAAATTCAAGTATTTTACCTTAATTTTATCTTTAAGTACCATTTGTTTCAGAGGAACAGTTGATCATGATATTCCAACGTCTGTGTCACCAATTAATGTCCTTCTTGATTTTACCACTTTTAAATATCCTTTTAAAAGCACAGTTCCTTGACTTCAGACAGAATAGAACACTTAGAAAATGCCATGGAGATGACGTTTTTCATTGTTGTGTTTGTTAACACAATATTTTCAACTATAGAATCCAGACAGGATGCGGATGTCTAAATGTTGCTAGGGTAGTATAGCAAGGAAGTTTATAAACATATCGATATTCCCGTGAAGATTTTATTTACGACACAGATATTCCCACAACATAAGAGCCATTCAACCCTCTAGCTGAGGCGTTTAAAATGGAAATAATTTGACGATTTAACAGCTATACAGAACATCGTATCCTGCTCTATAAGGTGTAGACAGATTTTGATACAATCTTAGATAGGAATTTATTGTACACTGTGTCATCTATTCTATAGGACGATTTGTTAACATTATGCGCAGAAACAAATCGATATTTGAACTAGCTGTCGTGTACTTAAGATGCAATGCATGATATGTACACCGTGAGAGAGAGAGAGAGAGAGAGAGAGAGATTGACCAGATTTCCTTTGAGTTTCATTGTATTGACAATTGCTTTTTGATGACTTCAATTTTTATATATAACGCCCTAAAAAGAAGATGATTTTGAATTTTTCTTGATCACTGTATAAAATGAAAAATATATTCAAGAGGACACTTGTTTTGATTTTATTTTTTTCATATATAAAATTTGAAATTATATTTTAGTAATCCTGTAACAGTTTTAAATTAATTTCATCAAAAATTACAGATATTGTACATTTCAAGAAAGTACATGTTCTTTTAATGTTAGAAAATGGCGCAAGACTCAGTCCAAGTTTATCTAGGAGATAACGCCAGTTGATTTAATTAACACTTTGAAAATGTATCACAAACCGTTTTTACTTTAGTTGCAGTTTCAATTTGATAAAACTGTTGGTTTAAAGAATAAACTGACTGAGACAGAAGCAACTTGACACTGTAAAATGTCTAGAGTTAAGGATTGTATTCACGATTGACTTAGGCTGTGAAGAATCAATAATCTAGATCTGTTTCAATGAGTATATCAATAATTCTTACAAGAATAAAACATTAAAAAAGAAGTAGACACATTTCTACTTTAGATCAAGATTATATGGCTACAGAATTGCCATATGTTGACAGATAAATATAATTGTATTATTCTATCAGAAGACGAAAGTGTGACTTAATTTCTTGTGATAATCAGAACCAATGTATTCAATATTTGTTTTTTTTTTACTCTGACATTGAAAATATAAATGAATAAATAAATAAAATCACAAATTACATTTAGAATTCCCATGTGTATATTTGCTTATGACATTAGCAGTTTATTATAAATTCTGAATAATGAATGCTCTTATGCGTGCGGCTTACATAGCAGATGTTTGTAAAGATTTAAATATCCATCTGCGATAAGATTAATTCTATAGAATTCAAATTATTCATTTAATTCGATGTTCGATCGCAATCACCATCTCTTGTATAGATTTCAAAGTCTTAAAAAAAATTTATAGCTTTTTTAAAATTCCTCTGCCATAGTAATGTGTCCAGATTAGCGTAATTCATGACCCCATTTATTCATCTAATAGCGTATAGATTCAGAAATGAATATTTTATGTTTAAACAAATACATTTTACATGTACAAGTGTATTCAATTTGTGCATTTATCTTTCTTGACAATTTCTCTCTGTCTCTCCCAATAAAACCAATTATGTGAGGCCATCTTTAAAAAAATGTTTGCTTGCCCCTTCCCAACTTAAGATTAAACAAATGAGTGAGTAGGTAGGGGGATAAAAAGAAATGAGTATGTAGGTAGGATAATTAAAAAAAACTAAAAAAAACTTACAAATATGAATTTAAAATAGTAGTTAATGGAATAGGTAATTTTGGAAAGAAAAACAAAATGTTGCCTGAAGGTTAAAATTCAAGTATCGAGTCATTACATTTTCAATCGGTGGGTGGGGAGAGGGCTAGCATACTTTTTTTTTTAAAAAAGTTGGCACAAAAAATAACCATACATGTATCAAAGGAAACATACCGGAGGCGGAGGGATGTATTTCCGCTTTGGACCAAAACTCTGGGGTCGAACCAATGCTGGAGGTGGGGGACGGAGGTCTATCTCTTGAACCAGAGGCGGTTCCGGTTTTCTCTCCACTTCCTCTGTAAGCACCGGTGGCGGATCTTGCTTCACGACCACTTCGATTTCATCGTCAGTGTTGGGTTGTTTTTGTGGTGATTCCGCTTGAATGACTGCAGTTTTGTATCTGTCTTTTGGGAGCTTTGGAGGACGACCGGGTTCTGGCACCGTTTGTGTCACAGCATCATTGGTAAATATTTCCTCCCTAGGTTCCTCTGGTGGTGGGACGAAGTGAGTAATCATTTGTGTAGCGACATCACGAGAACGCTGGGACTGATATTCACGCATGCGATTTTGAAACCCTCGCTCGATGAGGACTTTCTCTGACCTGGTATCCGTTGAACCCGAATCATCACTTACAGTACGATCCTGAACCGGGGCTCGGCGAACAATTTCTCTTACTTTTCTAACTTCGGCATATTCTGGTTCAACTATTCTTCTTACTTCTGCATATTCTGGTTCAGCAGTGCGCGCCCTCTCTTCCACATATTTAGTCTCAGGTTGTCTTCGGATAATTCTCCAGGACCCTGGTTCTCTAGAACGGAACTGCCTGGCTTCATATCCTTCGATAGAATCGGGGGATTGACGACGCCTTATGATACGTCGCCGAATGGTTGGGGATCTTAGCTGGTCACGTGATGATACACTGTCTGTTATGGAGCACGTGCTGCACGTTTCCGATGTATCCGTGAAGCTGCTGGGTGACTCACTGCGCGTGATTGTAGAACTTCCTGTTTCTGAAGAATAGGAGCTTGATAGAGACTGCGCAGGACGGCGAATCACATATCTCACCGGTCGTGACGTATATGTCGGGTTTGAAATTGACCTTATCACTCTTCTTTCCCTAGGTACTTCCGCATCGGAGGAATATCTGGTTCTGTATGATGGGTGACCAAGCTGACGTTTTACGATTACTCTCTCCTCGCTGTCTACAGGTCTGCGTCTCTGGACTCTGTTTACCGTGTCCCTAGGTCGTAGAAGTTTTCCTTGGGAGTACGAAAACACAATTTCTCTCCGGCTACTGACACTCCCTGAATCAGACATTTTTTTTCCTCGTCCACAAAAAAGTATCTTAAAATAATTTAGAAAATTTTATCATTTCATTAGGTTTAGTTTTAGACTTGAACACATTCAAACTTCAAATTTCTCTTAAACGTATCCAAGACGCACCAATTATGACACTGTTCAATAAAACGTTGAACCGCTCAGACCTATCAATTCATCTACCGGGTTCCCAGCTCAATAACGCAAGTTTTTCTAAAGGTTTTAGTAATATAGTGGTATAAGCGGCTTATACATCCATTGATTTCGGCGCATTAAGAAAACAGTAACTTTAATTTAGCTAAGTTTATACCCCATTGTTTAAATATCCACAAACGGGTGTTAGTATTAGAAGGCAGACACAGTACGTACAATAAAACATTCCCGTCGTTTCATATTGACCTGAACGTGGCGTGCACAGGGTGCTGGGTATTGTGTTACTCGGCACCAGACCAACTCTGAGTTCGACAGAGCTACTCAAACATTAAATAACGATTACACTGTTTTTTAATAAAAGAAAACGGCACTTAAAAAAAGAGAGTGAATAGGAAAATTGATCAGATGCCTGAAATGCCAATATTTTATCTTTGATGCTTGTCCTTTAAAAAAAAGATAAGTAATATATTGGAAATTATATGAAATTATATTATTATAAACAACAGGAGAAAAAAATGTACTGATAAAATAAATGATAACCTCTCTACCTTCATCTACAATACATGTGGCACTATTTTCTTTCAATAGTAAGAAAGTACATGTAATAGACTTACATGAAAAGGGATTATTGACAGAACCTTCTTATTTAGAAATTTTGAATATGATACACTGAACTTATCACGAAGTTTTTCAGTACATTTCACATTAGTAGAAAAGTTTTGAAATTTCTTAAGGTTTAAGAATAACATCGAGGTAGAGTAATATACTGCAATTACCTTAAAGCAGGAGATTTTTTCTTTAATAATACATGTAATCTATTATGAATGCACTGGGTCGATGTCAAGGTGTGGTGACGTTTAGATTTTACCTGTTCAAGTTTTCACTTTTACAAGAGCCAGCAAAAAAAAAGAGAGGAAAAAAAAACAGTATATAGATGAATATTTTTTATATGTTATTTTCTTGAATATTTGGAAGATAAAAATCTAGTCACAAAATGATTTTTATTAGTTTGATTTCTCTTATAAGCAAACTTCTGTGAAAATATAAATGCGAAATCTACACACTTCTACTGCTTCTGCGTGCGCATTTTGTCAAGGAACCGCTTAGCAAATGCAGCATAATGGTTACGATGCCTCACTGTTACAGAAGCATAATATGATTTATTCATTTCTATCTTCTTAACTGACGAAGGAAGTCTACAACTAGGATGAAACAAAGAAGGAATGACGGGATGTCTGTCTGACAGAGGTTTCCACTTTCGGTCGACAAGGCAGTGTTTCTGTTCATGGTAATTTTCTTTCATCCAGCCTCCGCCCACGCGTACCAAAGTGTCATTTCGGGGCTTGATTCCATGCTGTAAAGGATGAAAATGCTACAATTTTACCAATCATTTAAATTATTCAATCTTTATTTTTTATAAACATATACATTAAGACGACAGTTTCCGAATTTTAAACCTCATAACTCATTAAAACTCTTGTTTAGATACAATATCTAATTAAATTGGCGTAACAGAACAGATTAATGCTTTGTACCAGACGAAGATATCATAAGCAATATTCGCGGAGCGCACATTATCTCTAAATATGAGACTTTTAAAGCTAGGCATTTTTGGTATAAGGCTTTTAAAATTGACAATGAAACATTCTACGTTCCTTACAAAATTATTGGAAAATTAGAAAAAAAAAATGTATCAATTGTGTCAGTTTACATGTGTGGCTTATATCCTTCCGGTCAAAATCAGAAATAAATTGATGTCTTGAAGTTAACATTGAGGTTAAGAACACTAACCTGTACCTGAACCTCCCCAAGAGGCGTGGGTTTCCGTTCTGGTTCACATTCAAAATCAAGTTCAATCCCCGGGGGCGGCGTTGGCTGCCGTTGTTCGATCAGAGGTGGTACTGAGAGTCTCTGCACCTCTTCAGTTAACCTCGGGATACCTCCCGCCACTACCTCAATCTCGTCATCACTGACCGGTTGGCCTTGTGGAAAATCTGCATTAATAACCGCAGTTTCATTCTCTTTTGTTCTACTGTACGAAAATATTGAAGTCTGTGTTTCGACATCATGCAAGTCTTTGACTTTTCTCTGATCAAGTGATGATATACAATACGTAATCATTTGTGTAGAGGCATTTCTAGAAAACCTTGGGTTTGTTCGGCGCAAGGAGGCTCGAACGATTGGATAAGCATTTCCATTGTCCGATTCGTCAGGTGCTTGTCCATTGGTGTCCATCGGCATTTTCTTTACAGTTCTGGATAGATAATCTTTTCATAAATTTCCTGAAGGAATTCCGGTAATCAATTTTTAAATGGATATAAAGACAAGAATTCGCATGTTCTTTTAGCACTTTCTGATGACATTGTAATAAGATCCAGAAAATTAGTATTACGTCCAGTCCTTGAAGGTTTCAACTCTTTGATTTCAAATCATTACATAATCCTCTCCATTTTTCTTCGTGAAATTAAAAAAAAAAAATCACGTCTAGCCTTTTTAAAATGCGAAATAAGTAGGTCGTCAATCCATAATCAATAGTGCTGTTGCTACTGCTAAACCTGGATGCAGAAATGCACACACAGAAATTTGAGATGAAAACGACGCACAATGCCAAAAAAATTTGTAAAAGGATCCAGAAAGAAATTCAATAATTTTTGGTAGTTTTACCTTTGAGGCAATATACAGGTGCACCCCACATCCTACTTTCTGAATGGTAAACACTGCATGTATATACTACTAAAATACTAGTCCATGTATCTGACTGTTACGGTGCATTGAGCTAAATAATGGTCACTGATATCGATTACGCATAGAAAAAAAAATCTGCATTCAATATTTAAATTGAACATATTACGAAAATGGCAAATATGACTTGAAGATTTAAAAAATAAAAACCAAGTTGAATAGTGAATAGTTCGTTTTAGAGCGGTATTATGTATTCTAAATAATAGAGCATACAATGTGAATCGCCTATTTGATACATCCTAAATAAATGTTATCATTAATTAAAACAATACATTATTTTAGTTGTTACATGTACATAATCTTAGAGGCATTGTGTGTGATGGCACACTATTCAAAAGGTGGCAATTATCAGTTGACACTGTACATTAATTAGTGTATCTCATACATGCACCAGAATTATTTTTATAGGATATTATTTAAAATAAACTCTTTAAAATATTCTTAAAATTAAATCTGATCTAAAATAAGTATGAAAATTGATATGTTTGGTAATACCTACTGTGGCCACACTCTACCCAGGGTGTAATGATTTGAACAATTTAGAATCTACGCTTCCCCAGGATGCTTCCTCATAAGTTTCAGCTTTTCTGGTCCAGTATTTCTTGAGAAGAAGATTTTTAAAGATTTTTCCTATATATTTCAATGTAAAACTTCCCTGTAAGGATTACCTATTTTGGCCCCCGCCCTACGCCGAGGGTCATCATTTGAACAATTTAGAATCTGTACTACCATAGGATGCTTCCACATAAGTTTAAGATTTTCTGGCATGGTGGTTCTTGAGGAGAATATTTTTTTTTTTTTTATAGATTTTTTCCTATAAATTTCAATGTAAAACTTGGATTCCCTATTGTGGCCCCGTCCTACTTTCGGGGTTCATCATTTGAACAATTTAGAATTTATACTACCCCAGGATGCTTCCATATCAGTTTCAGATTTTCTGGCCCAGTGGTTCTTGAGAAGGAGATTTTTTAAAGATTATTCCTATATATTTCAATGTAAAACTTGGATCCCTAATTGTGGCCCCACCATATTCCCGGCGGTCATTTTGAACAAATTAAGAATTTAGAAATTAAGAAACTACACCACCCCAGGATGCTTTCACATAAGTTTCGGCTACTCTGGCCCAGTGGTTCTTGAGAAGAATATTTTTAAAGATTGGCCTATATATATTTCAATGTAAAACTTGGATTCCCCATTGTGTTCCCGCCCACCCCCGGGGTCATCATTTGAACAATTTAGAATCTACACTACCCCATGATGCTTCCACATAAGTTTCAGCTTTTCTGGCTGATGCAGTGGTTCTCGAGAAGATTTTTAAAGATTTTTCTTATATCTTTCAATGTAAAACTTGGATTCCTAATTGTGGCTCAGCCTTACCCACGGGGATCATCATTTAAACAATTAGAATCTACACAACCATAGGATGCTTCTCCGTAAGTTTCAGCTTTTCTGGCCCAGTGGTTCTTGAGAAGAAGATTTTTTTTAATCACCCACCCTATTTTTGTCTCTTCTTGATTAACTCCCCTTGTTAGGGGGCTTGGCCCTTCATTTTAACAATTTAAACTCCCCTTTACCCAAGGGGTGAGCTAAAAGCAATTACATAAACATGAGAAATCAGAGACAATAGTAATTTCAAACAAAGCCAATCTACATAGTCACCCTGTAATCAGAACTAAATATGAACTATCACTTATTTTACAATATTTGTTTAATATATTATGATATAGATAAATGTAACTGTAAAGGTTGACCGGGGTAAGAAACATGCCATAAATAATCAGTTCACAGTACTCGACAGTTACGTGTATTTAATAAATATAAATAAAGAAATGCAGCACAGATGGGTACGACATAACATGGTGTTTAAACTTTAACATTTCACAAACTGACCAATTACATGTACCCCGACGCTCTCAATCAGGAGAATCAATTACCCCCAGATATGTGAAAACACCAACCTATCAACGTTAAAGCAGAGGTTTTCAAAATTCAATTTATGAAAGAATTTTTCGTCGAAATTTACAAATATTGATTTATTTCGACTAACCGATTATTTATATTTTTTTAAACCGAGTACCACCGTTTCGACCAAGAAATCGGTTAAC